GCAGGTCACTTGAGTCAGGAATTAGAGATCAGCCTGCCAACATTGCAAAACCCTGTCTCTACCAAAAAATACAGAAAAATTAGCTAGTTGTGGTGTGGCACACCGAAGCCCCAGCTACTGGGAGGCTGAGGTGGGAGAATTGCTTGAACCCGGGAGGCAGAGATTGCAGCGAGCGGAGGATTGCGCCACTGCACTCCAGTCTGGGTTACGGAAGTGAGACCTGTATCAAAAAACAAAAACAAAAGCAAAAACAAAACAAAGTCAAAACTTTGTGCTGAGAGAAGGTCTCATTACCCCTCTTCACTTCAGACTGTTCTCTGCCTCCACCATGGTAGTATTTCAACAATTAGCTAGTAACCTTCAGTGTTTCTTATGCAAGTATTACCAAATTCGTAGGTATTTTCTTATTCTCCTTTTCCACAAAAGGTAGCACTTCAGATACACTGTTGTGGAGCTGGGCTTTGTCACTAGAAGCACTCATGGGAATCACTCTTATTATATTTTTTACTCTTTATTTTTTGGGGCGCCTTTATTCTTTTATTTATTGTCCTTACACAAATCTAAGAAATCCCTCTTTATCAGCTCACAGAGCTCTCTACGCCCTCGTCAGCTGCGTAGTGGCGTGTGTTGATGCCACCGTGATTTATGCCATCACGCCTCATGGACATGGTCACTTCCATCCTGTTGCGTTCATTAATAAGGGCCGATGCCACTCTTATGCACAGGGTCATTTATGGTTTTTGCCAGTGCATTCTTCAGCATGCATTTCTAAGAAGTGGAATTGCTGTGGATAAGATAAATGGCAAGTGTGGCTTTCAGTTGTATGTTTTGTTTTTGTTTGTTTTGTTTTTGACGACAAGGTCGGTCTGTCCACCCAGGCTGGAGTATGCAGCACAATTCTTGTTCAGCTGCAACCTCCGGCCTCCCAGACTCAAGCCATCCTCCACCCTCCGCTCTCCGCCCCAGCGCTGTGGCGACTTAGTAAGGCATGTGTCACCACACCGGCTTAATTCTGTACGTGTTTTCTGTAGAGACCAGGGTTGCTGGCGGTTGGCCTAGGGCGCGTCTGACTCATGGATGCTCAACGGTGGATCGTCCTGCCTCGGGTCCTCCCAAAAGTGCAAGGGATTCAGGGATGAGCCACTGCACTGGCCAAGTGTGGACTTGTCTAGATATGGGCCAGAGTTCTCAGGAAAGATTGTTACCACTAGAGTTCACCATTGTATGCATAAGAGTGAAATAGGCCCAGTGCAGTAGCTCACACTCTGTAGGATCCCAGCATTCTTTGGGATGCTTAGTAGGCGGATCCACTTGATTCAGGAGGGCAAGACCAGCCTGACGCAAGCATAGTGAAACCCTGTCTTCTACTCTGCCTGCCTCAGCCCTGCAAAGTGCTGGGATTACAGGAGTGAGCCACCATGCTCAGGCACAAGGTTTTGACTTTGAAAACATTAACAGGCCTTACACATCAAAAAAGACCATTAAATCAAAAAGAAGCAAAGCAATCTCTGTAGATATTATAAATAAAATACATTTCTAACTGCAAATTAAGTTGATAATAAAACCACAAAAGCAAAAAGGACTTACTTTAAGTAGCTTCAGAACATGATAAATAAATCATTAATGGAGAAATGGAGCTGTTAGGAAATCTTCAAGTCCAGTCAGTATTCCATTAATACCGGCATTATTTTGAAGATTATTTTTAAATACATGGAATAGTATCAATAAGTAATTAATAAATACTGTTAGGAACCAAGATTTCAGTGTATGAGAAAGATTCAAGTGTAAGAAAAGTAAAATTCCTTTTGTGTTAAATGTGAACTAGATTATGGAACACAATTCATGAGGGCTGAACGTGTGAAGGGCTAAAGCCTCTGATAATGCAGATACAGTGCAGTTTTTGAAACCCAGGAGAATGAAGAGAACATGTGTAAAAAGTATCATTTTTCAGCACTTACTGACGGCAGTGCATACCTGGTTAAAAAATAAATAACAAAGGCGCAGCTGTGCAACAAAGCAAGGTAGTGCCTATCTGTTGAGATGGCAGTTACCCTCAGAAAGCAGGGGCGGTGGGGGGGTGCTACGATGGCCAGGGGCCGCCAGGACAGCTCTGTGATGGCTGGCAGATCCCATCTTCTCATCTGGTGGATGCTCGCAACATCATCATTTTAAACTGCATTATGCTGTTTTTTATATTTGTGTTATATTTAACAACAAAATATTGAAATTTGCCTGGTGTCACACCTGTAATCCCAGAACTTTGGGAGGCTGAGGCGGGAGGATCACTTAAGCCCAGGAGTTCAAGACCAGCCTGGGCAACATAGTGAGACACTGTCTCTACAAAACAAAAGAACAAACAAACAAACAAACAAACACCAGCCAGGTGTGATGGTGCACGTCTGTGTTCCCAGCTACTTGGGAGGCTGAGGTGGGAGGACTGCGCCTAAGCCCAGGAGGTTGAGGCTGTAGTGAGCCATGATCGTGCCACTACACTAAAGCCTGGGCAACAGAGTGAGGCCCTGTCTCTTTCAAACAAATAAAGTTTAAAAACTGGGATTGGAATTATCAGTATGAATCACTGGCTTTTTCTTTCTTTTCAAAAAGACACATTTCCTAGCTGTGCCTCTTCAAAAGATGAGCAATCAGCATCACTAACAGTGAAAAACCAACCCGCTCCCGTGAGCCTCCTTATGTGGCAAAGCACACAGCCCGCTCCGGCCTCCCATGGGGTAAGCCTGCCAGAGACGCAGGCTTGAATCTAATCAAGCCTCTACAGCTAACTTCCAGTTACTGGAAAGCCAGGACAGGCAATGGCAGAACAAGTTACACAACCACGCCAGGAAGCAAACTAAGAATGGGAACGCTCTATAGGATGAATGAGCCAGTTTCTGCAATGAAACAAGAGCATGGGAGAAGTGGGGAGGGAGTCCTGCACAGCTCTCTATTAAGTAACTTAAGAGACAAGCAATCAAATGTTGGTTTGGACTCTGACATGAACAAATCAATTGTAAAAAAGCATTTCTGAGACAATCATAAAAGCATAAGTATGGATTGGGTAGGAGAGGCCACATATTATAATATAAAATATGAAAATAGCATGGTAGTTATAGAAAAAAAAAGTACCTATTTCTTGGAGATGTGTACATATAGGTATATGTACATAAGTATTTGTATATGAGTGTTCAGTGTGTTGCTTTCTTTACTTTTTAATGTCTTAAAATTTTCATAAGCAAAAATGAAAAGTCCCGTGTAGCCCATGTTTGTGAGATGGTATCACTGCTCGGTAATACCCCGCACATTTCTACCAATTGACAACGTGGTTTTGTTACAGGCCTGACCACTTCTGTAACACGACTTCCATGAGAAAACCATACTAGAGGGTCTAAAAAAGCACTTATAAATCAAAGTTTATGCAAAAATGTTTGTATAGGTAGAGTTCATTTGTACATAATGATTTATTATACTTAACTCCTGGGGATACTGGCTTAGAGATTTTTTAAGGTCACACTTTTCTTTAAACCAGAGGTCAGCAAAGTACACATGGGCCACATCCAAACAATGCCCGTTTCTGTGAATCCATTTTATTGGAACACAGCCACACTTGTTTGCTACTGTACTGTCAACAGGGACTCTCGCATTACAGCAGCGCGGCTGGGTAGCTGCAACAGAGATCATGTGACTTACACAGCCTGAAATCTTTGCTGCCTGGCCCTTTGCAGAAAAGACGATCCATGTGCCAGTAAAGATGCAAACAAAGAAAAAGGGCTTCAGTTCTAAGCTCTGACACTTAAGCTGTTGCACTCAGTGAAGCCCAGGTAAAAAGTTGCTTTGGGAAAAATGCATCAGATTTCAAATTCTGGAAACATTCCTATGGCCAAGTCAGTCTACCTAACAGAGGCCTGGAGGAAAAATGACAAAGGAGACACAAAAAATATGATAAATATGCAAGCTAATCAGTTTTATGCAAGAAGCTTTTGCCCTCTGATGAGTCATTGTAGAGTATTTATTTGCAAAGCTTCTCCCTTTTAAGTTTTGATATTATCTTCCTCAAAAATGTGAAGAGAAATCCTATTTGTTCACTTTCTTGTCCGTCTCCCCACCTGGATAGGCTCTATGAGGGCAGGAATTTCCCTGCCCACTGTTATGCCCCAGTACCCAGAAAGGTGCTTGGCAAGTGTTAGGCCCTCGATAAATATTCCATTATGAGCATCAGGGATCTACTACACTTAATACCTCTGAGAGTTGAATATCATTTACTCAAAAGTGGTGACCGCCCACCCTGCCTGCACCCTGTGGTTCAACCCCAGAGCACGTACGGCAGTACGGCATGGCTCACCCCATGACAGTAGGCAATATGGAACTGAGAATAAACCATCCTGCTACACACAATCTTTGTTTTGGAGACAGCTAAGCAAGAAAGAGTATTTATATTAACTTTTACACTTAAGTTTTAGGTTTCAGGCTTAAATATCTTGGGTTCAGGGAGAGATGGACTAAGTAGTAACTATTAGCTCAAATTTCTGTTCTAGTTTCTGACGGGTTGAAAAGACTAAATGGTTTATACTCCAGCTGTTTAGGCAGAAAAAGAGATAAAAATAAGTAGAGTGTGAGAAGGTGGCGTGTGAGAAGGTGGCGTGTGGGAAGGGTAAAGAGTGAGTGCTGACCAGCTCACTTTTCCACATGTCTGTGACAAAGGCCAGGTACCTGAACACTTACTCTCCCCGGCAAGGATGTGTTCTTCTGGAAAGTCTATTGGTAGCAGCAGCAGATGCCATTTCAAAACGGACTAAAGAGTGAGAGGGAGGAAGGCTGGGTGCACAAAACCTTCCTGGCACTTTTTCCCTATGAATATTGAGGATAGGGGCCAAGCAAGGTGGCTAACACCTGTAACTCCAGCACTCTGGGAGGCTGAGGCAGGAGGATCACTTTAGCCAGGAGTTCGAGATCAGCCTGGGCAATACAGCAAGAACCCATCTCTAGAAAAAAAAATTAAAAACTAGTCAGGTGTGGTGGCATGCGCCTGTAGTCCCAGTGACTCAGGAGGCTGAGGTAAGATAATCACTTAAGCCCAGGAGTTTGAGGAGGTTACAGTGAGTGATGACTGTGCCACTGCACTCCAGCCCAGGTGACACAGTGAGATCCTGTCTCAGACCAAAAAAAAAAAAAAAAAAGAACTAATTGAGTAAGGGAGAAATTAAGAAATACATGACCACTGCCGGTATCTTTTTTTTGAGACAGAGTCTCGCTCTGTCACCCAGGTTAGAATGCAGTGATGCCATCTTGGGTCCCTGCAACCTCTGCCTCCCAGGTTCAAGTGATTCTCCTGCCTCAGCCTCCCGAGTAGCTGGAATTACAGATGCATGCCACCACACCTGGCTAATTTTTGTATTTTTAGTAGAAATGGGGTTTCACCATGTTGGCCAGGCTGGTCTCAAACCCCTGACCTCAAGTGATCCGCCCGCCTCAGCCTCTCAAAGTGCTGGGATTACAGGCGTGAGCCACTGTGCCTGGCCCACTGCTGGTATCTTAAACAGAGCTTTTTAAACTGAATTAGGAAATGACTTAGAAAAGAACCACATTTTTGTTTCCTTGGTTAGAACACTTCTTATACTGGTCGTCGGCCTTTGCACATGCAAGCAGCGTTTCTCTTCCAACCCAGGATCCTGATCCGAAGGCCTCTGAAGGCTCCAGGTCAGCCCCTCATGCAGACTAAATAACATTCAATGGCATCAAGTTAGCTCATGCTGCCCGTTCCGCTTACCCCAGCCAAAGTCAAAATGTTTTCCAATGATTTGGTCATGATGAGACGCTTCTTGGCTCGAGTTACTGCAACATACAGTAAATTCCATTCATCCTCAGAAAATGACTCTAAACAAAGTAAAGGGGAAAAAATTCAACTAAAAAGCCTTACAAAATCTTACAAAACCTTATGTCTCATCTAAATGTTTACTAGCCCCCATCCATTCCCTGCAGAAAACCACTCAACATTTGTTGGCTGTAAATACAAAATTTTCCTACAAATGCCAGTTCCAAAAACAAACCAAATCCCAGCAGACTAGTGGCACAAAATACTGGGTTTTATTTAGTCCTGCTACGTCAATCCTGGGAATGTGTTAATTGGTTATTCGACACCCGCAATGTGCCAGATGGCTGTTTACAGTCATTATGCCAGTTCTCACAAAAAGCCGATGAGACAGCTGGGGAAACCGAGGCTTAGACAGGTTAAGTCACTCCTACAAACAAGGCCTTGGCTAATCAAGGGCCTGGGAGCTGGACCGAGTCTGCTTGTCTCTTTCCATTTCCTTACACTGCCTCTGGACTGCCAGACTCCCATTGGAAATGCCTGACACTGTCACGGGACAACAAGGAGGACACACAGGTGTGCTGTGTGCTGTGTGCTGTGTGTCTGTGCTGCCCAACCGCACCTCTCATCTCCCATCTCGATTCACCACACAATGGCAGGAACTCAACAAAGAGCAGCAGACCCAACGGCGTGCAAAAAGCTGCGGAATTGTACACTTTGGATGGGTGGGTTGTGTGGCATGTAAATTACATGTTCCCCAAAAAATTACATTTGTAAACATGTAAACCAGAAGGGCGAAAAAGGTGGTACTATAGTAAACTTCTCCATGGTCGCCTCCCTTCCTCTCTCCACTCCAAATCATGTTCTATATTCGCCAGCAGTCACGAATGCTGTGGTTTCCATTTTCAGCATGCCAATGTGTGCTAGGCCCCAAATTTCCAACCTACAGTTAACAGACAGCTTTGTTTGTTTGTACATAAATTTCAAACGGTTTTATTCTAAGATTTAAAATCAAAGCAACAGCACTGATGCTCAGAGTACAAATTTATTACAAAGCAGCCTTGAGTACAAATTTATTACAAAGCAGACAAGGCCAGGCACGGTGGCTCACACCTATAATCCCAGCACTTTGGGAGGCCGAGGTGGGTGGATCACCTGAGGTCAGGAGATTGAGACCAGCCTGGCCAACATGGCGAAACCCCGTCTCTACTAAAACACAAAAATTAGCCGGGCATGGTGGCGCGCGCCTGTAGTCCCAACTACTCTGAGGCAGGAAATCGCTTGAACCCGGAAGGTGGAGATTGCAGTGAGCCGAGATCGCACCACTGCGCTACAGCCTGGGTGACAGAGTGAGACTCCATCTCAAAATAATAATAATAACAACAACAACAATAGCAACAACAACAACAAAGCAGACAAATGTCTGTGGTGGCTCACGCCTGCAATCCCAACACTTTGGGAGGCTGATGTGGGAGGATTGCTTGAGCCCAGGAGTTTGAGACCAGCCTGAGCAACATAGTGAGACCCCCGTCTGTACCAAAAAAACAAAAAACAAACAAAAAACAGACAAATGATACAGAATGCTTACTACTTCTCCTTTTGTGACTTTCTTATCTCTTTAATAAATGAAGAGGAATTAATTAAAGGAATTACTTGGTAAGCAAGTAAACTATACGTTAAAGCTTTCATGAGGCTGGAGACTCAAAGTCTGATGGTGAAAAACCTGGAGCTGAGAGCAGTGCAGGGCTCACAGGTGGAGCCGAGAGCAGCGCGGGGCTCACAGGGCCACCACAAACATCATCACCCCACACGCAGCCCCCAGAGGGGTGCGCCTTGGGGAAGTTTTGTTTTTTAAAAAACCACAGTATAAGAATCAAAAGTTTAAGACTAGGAGGTGTTTTGTGGTTTTGTTTTTCCAGAAGTGCCCTACCAGGAGGCCACAGCATCCAACAAACAACAAGGCAGTGAAAAGGAAGCATTGCAGTCACCACTCACTACAACAGCACCTGACACTACCCGGCCACCTCTTACCAACTCTGAAGTGGGGAAGCTGGGGCAGGTTATGCCGGGCACAAGGCACTTTCACAAAATCATCCAGAACATGCACAGTGTCAAACTCCAGGCCTTTGGCTTTGTGCACAGTGCCCAGAATGTACTCTAGGATAAAAACACAGCACACGTTAGACGGGGCTTCAAAGGCAAAGAAACGAGATGACAAAAACATACATGCTTCCCACTTGACTCTGAACTCGAACAGTTCTTGCCTAAGTGCAGTTTTGTGGGAAAAGGGGGAAAGAGGAAACAACTGTCGGGAACAGAAAAAAGAAAAAGACGAGGAGAGAAGCTGAAAATTAGTTGCAGGAGTTAGTGCCTCTCAGAATCACATCCCAGAGGGCAGAGTGGCTCTACCCACCCTCTGGATCTAACACATGAAGGGACAGAGCCCAGAAAAGGGCTGCACGGCTTGCCTGACATTACACGTGGCAGACCTGGGACTAGAAAATCCCATTCTACGGGCTTGAAAGTAGAACAGAAATAAAGAGCCCCTGAGGAAGAACCAGAACCCTGCTCCCCTCTCCCTTAAGCAAGAAAGCCAGCTTTGCTCAAAGATATTTCACACAGGGAAGAAAACAGCAGAAGAGGCCAGGCGCGGTGGCTCACATCTGTAATTCCAGCACTTTGGGAGGTCGAGGTGGGTGGATTACCTGAGGTTGGGAGTTCAGGAGCAGCCTGGCCAACATGACGAGACTCCATCTCTACTAAAAATACAAAACCTAGCCAGGCGAGGTGGCGGCGCCTGTAGTCCCAGCTCCTCAGGAGGCTGAGGCAGGAGAATTGCTTGAACCCAGGAGGGGGACACTGCAGTGAGCCAAGATCATGCCACTGCACTCCAGCCTGGGCAACAGAGCAAGACTCTGTCTCAAAACAAAAAAAAACAGCAGCAGACCATCTGCTCCTCCTCCTAGGGGGAAGGTAAAAACCAACTGTTTCCCTTACCTGCAAAGTCCAAATCTTCTATATGGCATTTTTCTATCCTTTGCACCAGCTCTGGAATCCTGATGTTATACTTTTCAACAACTGCAATCTTGGCTTCGAGCTCCTTGTCCTCAGCAGCGGTCACATACCTCTTGAAGCCACTAAAGCCTTCTTTGTGCACCCATCTTCTGATAAATCTGTCTTTAATGACGAGGTTTTCTAAGGAGAACACACGCACAGGTTAAGGTGACACAAGCTCCACTCACAGATGGTGGCAGGTGCTGCACGTTCCTAAGCAGCCGCACAAGAGCGGACGGTCTTAAAGTGGGGAGACCCAGGTTCCAGGCCTGACTGCATCACTAACTCGCTGTGTGTCCCTGGGCAAGTCAGTGCAGTGCGGTGGCCTCTCCGTCTCCGACTGAGGAGCAAAACCCTAGGCTCAAGATCCTCACCTACTTCACAGGGATTTGAAATAGCGCAGTCAACAGGAAAAGAAAAGCGCTATAGAAATGTCTGACACTATCACTTGGGGCCCACGTGGAAGTGTACAACGTATAAAGCGGCCCAGGCAGACAGAAAGATGCAGGGGAAGACAGCCTATGGGACCAGGAAAGAGACTGAGGCTCCTGTGGGGAGGATCTGGAAAAGTCTGTCAGTACCTATGAAACCAGGAGGCCTGAGGCACCCCCCTCTTCATGGGAAGAGAGCTCTAGCTCTCCCTTCTCTGGAGGGAAACGAGTCCCTGACTCAGACCGGGCCTGCTTCTTTCTCGTCCCTGTCCCTTGGGTGCTTCCTTCCAATGCACCAAGGCCAGGCGGGTACTCACGTTTCCTCCGTTCTTCCTCTGGCTGAAGAAGGATCCAAATATCAATGATTCTGTCCAATCCAAATGATTTAATCCCCTGAAAAAGTTTTTTGGTGGGATTTTTGTTTTTTTGTTGTGTTTTGTTTTGCTTGTTGTTGCTTTAACAAAACAAAATAAAGCAAATACAGGGATGGGGTTTTGAAATGAGATGGTTTCTTGGAAATGGATCTTGAGTTACACCCAAAGCACAGGCGGCAAGCAGGAAACTCCATGAAGCAGAAAGCGCGAGGCTGCCACGTGGCCTGAACACTCCCAGGGACCACATTCTAAGATACCGCTGCTACCTCAAACTCTTCCTACTCTTTTTAAAAAGGCAAGATCTATAGCTGCACGCTGCTTTCGCATCAATAAAAAGGCAAGTTAAGCACCTTCCAGGAACCTGAGACGATTCTAAAGAATACAAATGGTGCCTGAATACAAAGTGCTTGGCATGCACATTTACCACTGTTTCTTGTGAGAAAAGAACTACAGGCTGGGCACGGTGGCTCACACCTGTCATCCCCGCATTTTGGGAGGCTGAGGTGGGTGGATTACTTGAGGCCAGGAGTTCAAGACCAGCCTGGCCAACATAGTGAAACCCGTCTCTACCAAAAATACAAAAATTAGCCGGGTGTGGTGGCAGACACCTATAGTCTTAGCTAGTCAGGAGGCCAAGGCACGAGAATCTCTCAAACTGGGAGGTGGAGGTTACAGCGAACCGAGATCCCGCCATCGCACTCCAGCCTGGGTGACAGAGCAAGACTCTCTCTCAAAAAAAAAAGAAACTACAGAATGTCTCTAGGTCCAGATTCTTCTACATTTTAACAGGTCAGCTCCTGGAGGAGACAGCCTGACTGTGCCCTGTTTAGCCCAGATCTACGCTAAGCACTGGCTGGCCTCTGGCACTCACACAGCACCAGGCCCCACACAGAAGACAGATACGACCAGGGCCTCACACTCCAAGAGCTTGACATCTTTTAGGGAGGGACACGTAAAACACTCACATAAAACAGCGGGCAGAATAACACAGTTGACATTATAACCCACAATCAGATGTGTGGTCACGTGTAATGACACATGGTACAGGTGATAAGTGGATTTAAGAGAGGTAGAGAGAACCACTCGCTTTACATCATGCCAGTGTGGATGATATTCCAAAAATACTACTCTCTTACAACAATGACTACGGCTAAATTATGTTATTATTTACCAGACCAAATACTACAAGGTCATTAAAGCAGTAATGAAGGAAAATATGCCTATGTGTTGAGTGAAAAACAGCATCCATTTCTAGGTACCCTATACTTGCAATTATGCAAAAATACACATCTATAAGGACAAAGACAAAAATAGCAAAAATGAGAACTATAATATGAAATACTGGGATTATGTGTTCTTTTTTAGGTTCCAAAATTTCTATACCATTGTTATACAGTCTTTATAAATAAAAAACTTAAAACGTCTTTTGATTAGGATTCATTGCTATATTCATTGAGTGCCTAATGCATAGTAGGCTCTTGAAAACATTTCCATAAATGAATGAGGGAATATCTTTTTGTCATATAACTTTGCTTCAGGGTTAAAAATGCTGTAAACATGCCACTGAATCCTTCTAACTCCCTGTGAAACAGGTAAGGCAAGGCATTATTTTACCTCAGAGTGGAGAGAATGAGGCACACAGAAGCTGTGACTTGCCCCCAGCCACACGCGGTTAGTGACCAGTCAAAACTAGAGCCTAGGTGTGTACTCCGCGTGTTGTCAGCTCAGCTGTTCTCACACTAACGACAACACACAACCAGAAGAGCTTCCAGTAACCCGCGGCCTCACTGGCATTGTCAAGGGAAGAAGGGCATTCATTGTTTAAAGAGTGGAAACTAAGGTCCCCAGCCCTTCTTGTGTCTGCCTTTCCAGGAATGTTTCACTGGCATAATCGGAATGGCCTGGGATACAGACCAGCCATGGTGCAGCCCGGTGGAAAGAGTCAAAAACCCAAATACTTTCTTGCATGATAATCCCAATGAAGGCGAACATTTTCACTGGGTATGTTCATCTACAACGTTTCTGTGCATGAAGTGGTCAACAGAAATGTACTCTTACCCCAATCAAATGTATCCTTGAAGGGACTTCCCCTTCCGTCACCCGTACGGCCTCATCAAACACGTTGGCGTTGGTCCGGGACAACAAGGCCACTTGCCCCTTTGCGTCACCTCTAATGCCACCTTTAGGGAGAGAGCACAAACTCTATGGCAAATCGAAATAAAGACGAAAACTTTTGTAACATAAAAGAGAAAAGTAACTCAAAGCCTTACTCTGATGGTTTCCTCCAACCAAAGTCTTTTTCCTGACTCTCTTGCAAACATCCAAGATAGTAGCTCCCACATAAGCTATTTCAACACCAAACCGAAAACTCTGGAAAACAGCAAGACAGAGGGAGTCAGAAGCCCGCCCTGCGGTGTGTCCGTGCATTTCCATCACTGCCACCACAGCCCGGGCAGGCCAGGCCCGACAAGTTCTTCCTGACCCCCCGCACAGAAAGCGAACTTCACAGGCTCACTTTCTGGGCCCTTCACAACCCGGCAGTCTTTATTTTCCGTTATTCTCAACACAAATAGTAAAGTTTTCTTTTAAGCAAATCTACCCTTTTCTCCAAATCAAATCTAGTGAAGTCTAAATCATACAAAAGATTAAGATAGGGTAAGGAGGGCTTCTCCCCTTGCCTTTGAGATCCCTCTCCACACTACCTTTAAAACCACTGCCCCGCACCAACCAGCCATGGCAGAAGCACTAGCACCTGCACATTGCCCACGCTGCCCTGCCTCAGCCCACGCTGCTTTCTGTCTGACTTGCATCTACCAAAGTCACTTCCTAACCTTCAGAACTCAGCCCAAGACCCTGCTTCCTTCACCCCTCCAGCTGGCAAGATATCATTCTTCCCTACACTCAGGGTGTGTATGGCCTGTTTTCATGCCCACACAACTTCAGGTGCTTTGGTGAATAGCAAACGAAAACTAGACTTTAAACAAACACTACTTTGTTACTATAAAACTACTCTGAGAGAACCATAACTGAAATTATAACATAAATATCCATGAGTTCATATTTAGATAAATGATTGAATATTTAAATAGATGGGATAGAAGAAACAAATCTCCTTTGCAGAAGAATTCCAAATAATTTATGAAGATTCGTGGACACTTACTCCTTGAGTGTATAGAGACTTCCTTCCAAAGCATCCAGTAGGGAAAGGATGAAAAAAAAGAGGAACTCTACAGTGGAGAAACCTGACAAACACTACATCAGCCAGGTGGTCAAGGTCAACCTCAAGTCATGAGCCATGGTGACAGCATGCACCTCGACAGCATGTGATGAAAATGGAGCTTCACCTCTGTGGTCTTCCTCCCAGAACCCAGAACTCTAGCCTAACCATGAGAAAAGACATTAGACAAATCCCAGCACAGGGGCAGCCTACAAATGCCTAACTGGAACTTCTGGAAACTGTGAAAGTCACATCAGAAATAGAGAAAGTCTGAGCAACTGTCACAGCCAAGAAGAGCCTCATGACACATGGCTACATGTAATGTGGGATCCTGGATGGGATCCTGAAGTCACAAAAGACATTATTTCAAAACTAAGGAAATGCAAATGAACCATGGACTTCAGCCTATAATAATGTATCAATGTTGGTTCATTATCGTGACAAGTGTTCCACATGAATATAAGACGGCAAGATGTTAGTAATGGGAAACTGAGTACAGGACATATGAGAACTCTCCTTTCGATTTTTCTGGAAATCTGAAACTATTCTAAAAAAATATTGTCTATTAAAAGAACAAAACACCTCTGCACTGATGCTACCCTAAATCACCACAGCAGCAGGAGCTCAAGGGAAGAGTAACAGAGGCATCTACGGAACTTTCAATAACATCACAAAACACAGCACAGTTGATACTTTCATCCAAGTGAGACATCTCTTCCTTTTTTTTTAAGGGGACGGGATCGTTCGCTGCTCGCCGAGACGGGTGGGTTCAGTGGCGCCGATCTCGGCTCACTGCAAGCTCCACCTCCCAGGTTCGCGCCATTCTCACTGCCTCGAGTCTCTGGAGTAGCTGGGACTACAAGGCGCCCGCACAGCACCCAGCTATTTTTTTAATTTTTTAGTCGGAGAGACAGGCGTTTCACTGTTACAGGATGGGTCTCGATCTCCTGACCTCATGAATCCGCCTGCCTTCGGCCTCCACGAGTGCTGGGAGGATTACAGGCGTGAGCCACCATGCCGCAGCCGAGACATCTCTTCTAAGTAGAATGCAGTTTCTTAAAAGCAGTGGTTCTCAAACTTTGGCGTCTCGGTGCTTCACATTAAATCACACTTAAAAAGCCTCCAAAGAGCTTTTATTTACCTGAGTTCTATCTATCTATATTTACTAATTAGCAAATTTTAATTCATTTAAAATAAACGATTTCGAAACTTTTTTTTTTAAGACAGAAGTCTCCACTGTGTCGCCGCAGGGCTGGAGTACAATGGTGCCAATCTCGGCCACTGCAACCTCCACCTCCTGGGTTCAGTGATTCTCCTTGCCTTCGGCTTCGATAGCGGACACTACAGGCGTGAGCCACCACGCCTGGCTAATTTTTGTATTTTTAGTAGAGACAGGGTTTTACCATGTTGGCCAGGCTGGTACTGAACTCCTGACCTCAAGTGATCTGTCCTTCTTGGCCTCCCAAAATGCTGGGATTACAGGCATAAGCCACCATGCTCAGCCAAAAGCCTCTTATGTGACGACATAAAGAACATATCTTTTGAAATATATTTCCCAGAACAAAGAAAAAATTCACCAAGAAGAATGGCACCATGTTCCATTTTTGCAAATCTCTGCAATGCCTGGCATGACAGAAGACTGGCTTCCTGTGTTCACATCTGCATTGTCTGCTGTGATGTGCTGTCTTGGTTGACACACAAGAAGAAAATTCAACCCCACGCAGACATGTGATTGGAAAGGAAGGAGCGCATAATAAACTTTTCGCATAATCGAGGACACTGTGAGTTGTCATATTCATTATGGGAGAGTTTGCCAAAATTTTAATTTCACTTGAAAGCAAAGATGTTATTTTTGACAACAAACACTGTCAGTTATTTTCCCTGAAGTCGCAGCTTGTTTCATTCGTCTTTGAAAAAGTGCCAAATACACAAGTCTGAACAACCAGCGCTGGTCTAACAACTGTTCTAAGTACAAACACACAAGGCGGCAGCAGCCGTCAGTTCACAGTTCAGCCGCAGCAGCTCTTCCTCAGATGACCGCTGTGCACGCACCCCTTATGAAAACAGTCTGACTTGGCAGACCCCGAGAACCACACTTTGAGAACCACTACTTAGAAGCAAGGATTTGCTAGCTCTGGTGAGCCTGGCATACCACCTTGCACAGGGCCCAGCACGTAAGACACTGGGAGGGAGAAAAAATGGCTCCGATGCAGAGCGTGCACTTACCTGCGTGAGATAGAAGACGTGGGTGTGGGGCACTGTGAACAGGGCGTTGACTGCACCCCGGAAGGTATAGATCTGCTGGTGCGGGTCCCCTACAAAGATTTTCCCACATGGCTGAGACAGAACTATGTTCATGATAGCTGTAACCAATGAGAGGAAAAGTGAGAAACCTTGAGGCCTCCACCCCAGGCAGCAAAAAGAAAAGGACAAAACACTTCCGTGAAGCTAAGCCAGGGCACCCTGGACCTCAAGGTCGCCTTTTCCTGCAGGACAGGCACACTCCATCAAAAGCAGCTATTTTATAATGGACAAAAGAAACAGTTTCTGGTCCTAGGAATGCAGATTATGTTTCGCCCTGGATGAACTGTTGGAATTTAAGAAAACAACACAGGCAAATCTAAAATGAGGCAAATTGTCTTTAATGTTACAGCACTCGAAATTGACCTACAAAGTCAGACTCATTAACACTGTCTGTTCTCTCTTAGCCACTTGAGAAACAAACAACACAAGCTTTTCCCTCTCAATGGACGATCTCTTCCCACTGAGCATGAATCTAGGTCCCTATCGTCTGCGGGTCTACAACTCGGTCAACATGTTAAGAACAACCTAAGTAAAACCTATGGTGACAGAGAAATCTGCTTGGGTGAGGGCAAGGGGCAGCTTGAAATCCTAAGGTGATTAAGAAGATCCTCTTCTTTATCACAAATAAGAATAATCAACTTAGTTCACACAGGTGTCCTCTTACATAATCATAGTGCTGTTTCTACGTATTTGAGACTACTGATGTCCTGAACAGCGTATCACCTGGTGTGCAGTCCTGGGCCTCATCCACAAAGATGGCGTCAAAAGAGGCCAGCAAAGGCTTACTCAGCTGCCAGAGTTTCAAGTAGCCTAAAATAAGGAGAGAGGCAGGAGTTGTAACTCCAGGAAGGCAGTCCCACTTGCCAGTCCCCGCCATCCGGCAGCTGCCTACCGTCATGAGTCATCTGGTACGCCTCTTCTGTGCACTCCCCCAGCTTCCGCATGTTATCCCAGAGGCGGCTTGCTTCAAGGACACCATTCTAGGAAGGAAGGTATATGGTAACCCAGAGTTTGAGACCCTGGCAAAGGCAGCACCCTGCAGTCACACTTTCAATTCCTATACAGCAGTGGAGCCAGGGCATCATCACAGAAGGGGGACCGCAGGCACCTCCCTAACCTCCTGGGTCTCCTCAACAGCCTCTCCACGCCACAGAGGGTCTCCAGTGCTGAGACAGGAAACAGCCGGGCCATGCCACGCCCATGACAGGGCAGAGGTCATAACAGTTAGGTGAACCAGAAAAGGCCAAATTGTTTTTCTAGATTTATGACTGATTCTTAATTCATAAAAACAATGGCAAATGAAAAAGACTTGATAAAAATAAGAAACAGACTTTCCCACTAGCAAAATCTATTCCATAGAACCAATAACCCAAGAAAATCAGAAGAGAGATTCAAGCCTTCAGTTAAGATCAGACTTGAGGTCCAGAAACCCCAGTGACAACCTCTTATAAACTCAGGCAGGTCGTTCCATGTCTGCCTTCTCATTAAATGGGAGGACTATTCTGAGGCTTAAGTGAGATGGTCACCGGTATCCTCCACAGGAGAAAATATCCAACAATTCACAGCCATCCCCATGGGCCCACAGCCTCACCCTCCCACCCTCAACCTCCTACGAACAGCTCTGAAGAAGTGAAAGAAGAAATAATGCTGTCCCATACTCCCTGTTTCCCCATCCTCAGATCCCAAACACTTCCCATTTCGCCAATCCTCAGATCCCGAACACTTCCCCTGTTCCCCATCCTCAGATCCCTAACACTTCCCGTTTCCCCCATCCTCAGATCCCTAACACTTCCCGTTTCCCCCATCCTCAGATCCCTAACACTTCCCGTTTCCCCCATCCTCAGATCCCTAACACTTCCCATTTCCCATCCTCAGATCTCTAACACTTTCCCTGTTCCCCATCCTCAGATCCCTAACACTTCCCCTGTTTCCCCATCCTCAGATCCCTAACACTTCCCATTTCCCCATCCTCAGATCCCCAACACTTCCCCTGTTCCCCATCCTCAGATCCCTAACACTTCCCCTGTTCCCCATCTTCAGATCCCTAACACTTCCCCTGTTTCCCCATCCTCAGATCCCTAACAATTCCCCTGTTTCCCCATCCTCAGATCCCCAACACTTCCCCTGTTCCCCTATCCTCAGATCCCTAATACTTCCCGTTTCCCCCATCCTCAGATCCCTAACACTTCCCGTTTCCCCCATCCTCAGATCCCTAACACTTCCCATTTCCCCATCCTCAGATCCCTAACACTTCCCCTGTTCCCCATCCTCAGATCCCTAACACTTCCCCTGTTTCCCCATCCTCAGATCCCTAACATTTCCCCTGTTTCCCCATCCTCAGATCCCTAACACTTCCCCTGTTTCCCCATGCTCAGATCCCTAACACTTCCCATTTCCCCATCCTCAGATCCCCAACACTTCCCCTGTTCCCCTATCCTCAGATCCCTAACACTTCCCGTTTCCCCATCCTCAGATCCCTAACACTTCCCATTTCCCCTAACCTCAGATCCCTAACACTTCCCGTTTCCCC